TGGCCCCAGCGGCGTCTCCTTGCTCCCGCAGACTGTAATGTAGCAGACCCTGCGATGTCCACGGCCCCGCAGCTTGGCCCAGGGTCCAACCCGCTGCCGAACCTGAGCGAGACCAGCGCTCCCAGCGTGCCCCATGGTGCTGCCCCCAGCTTACGGCCAGACGCTGCAGGAGGCGGCGGCGGCGGAGCAGGAAAGCAGCCTTCACAGTTCGTTTACGTCTTTACAACGCACCTTGCTAACACGTAAGCAGTAAACCCCGTCCGTCCTCCGCTGGCAGCGGGGCGGCCTGTCCCGCCTGCCTGCTGCGTGCTGCGCTTGAGTACGAGGGAGCTGGACAGACCCGCGTCGCTTGGGTCGCACAGAGCGGGTCCCTCCTGAGGCTCAGGAAGTTGGCTGGCAGCTGCTGCCGGTGGGCAAACTTTGTCTGGAGTGCACACTTCCTCCCAGCGATGCCCAGCACCACGCATGTTCTGCGACACGCGCCATCGAGTGCATCTAGTCAGCATCCAGCAAAAAGATTCACCCAAAGCAGCATGGGCTGCTGGTCTGATTCAGAAGTACCGAAAGGGCCGGGTGTCCCAGCGAGTGCCGTGTAACGCTCGGTGTTCTCCGCTCCGTTCCTCCCTTCTGTCCTGCACTGTCTCCACCGGGGAGTCTTAGCAAGACTGTTGAGTTTTAGAGCTCTGCTATACCACAGGTTCGGTGCGGTAGATCCCAGAGCATCTCGGCAATAGCCATCTTAAGGCAGCAGCAGGCACAAGGCAGAGCCAAGTGCCCGTCATAGGAAGTTCCAGGGCAAGCGATCATCAGTTGGAGAACCTCACTGGGGCCCAATGCAGGACAGGCGGGACTCTGACAGTGTTCCCCCTTCTCGGTGGTCTCCAGAGGTTTCCCTCTTCCCGCAGGACTGAGGAGCGGAGGTGGCGCCTGGGGCCTGGGGCGGGTGGGATGAGGCACGGTGCCTGTTCTTGAGCGGTTTGTGCTCTCTCCCCAGAGCTGCGGAAGCTGTCCTGCAGGGCCGAGCCGACTCCATTCTGGCCTACCATCAGCAGAACGTCCCACGGGCAAAGCTAGACCAGGTATACCAGCTGTGAACCAAAGGCTCCTGTCGGCACATACTGCAGACCCTTCCCTTCTGACGTGGCCGTTCTCCCCCAGCTCCTGGGCCATCTGTGGAGGAAGCGGTTGTCAGAACGCCCTTTCAGTGGGGTGGGAAGCCGCTTTGCCGTGGAACCTCTTCGGAGTGAGTCCTGGCTGCTGTCAGCTGTGAAAAGTTTGGGATGGGGCACGGTGCGTGGCCTCGCAGCCCCGTGGGCAGAGTACCCGACCGTGGGTTTCCGGGGCACTCGATGGACCCTGCTTCTTTCCCACAAGGAACGAACGTGAACTGCCCCAGGGCATGTCTTAGGGACAGAGCGGGCTCCTGCAGGGTGCGGGGAAGAATACCTATCCAGGATTTTTCCTGCTCACATTTGTTTCCCTTTTCTCTGCCAGGCGCCAGCTCCTAAAGTGCTGGGGGTTGCTGAGCCGCTTCCGATTAACCCTCCTGCTGCCAACACTCCACAGTCCCAGCCGCCGGCACCTCAAACGAGCCAGCCGCAGCCTACCCCACCGCAGCCACAGCCTCAGACCATCAGTCAAACACCTTTGCCTGCACCCAGCAGCCTGCCCCAGGAAGGGACAAGTGAAGATGTCCGGAGAGATCTGACTCCCAACTCTTTGGGGAACACCAGCGGCAGCAACCAGCCTGGAAGTAACCCCCCAAACACGCCCACCGCGCCTGCCAACACCATGCAGCCTGGGCCAGTGGAGTCCTCCGCCACGTCCAGCTCCAGCCTGCTCGGGGAGGGCCCGGGTCCAGGGCTGCCGGGGAACGGGCAGGCAGGCCTC